CTGGTGAGCGCCCACCAACAGCAACCGGCTGCCCGGGCACTTGTTGCCCTGCCCTGTCTTGCACTCCACTCGCCGTGACTCTGCCCCTAGCTCTGGCTCTCTGGGTCTCTGGCTCGCCGGCTCTGGCTGTCATTTAATTAAAACGTTGGCAGAATCAACACGATGCAGCGTTGCAATAGAACTTCAAGTTGAAGCGCCTCTTTATGGCTTCGACCAAAGTTTTGGGCATGGGAGAGGCCAGAAGCAAGAGGACGACGATGCTGGCGACTGCGATAAATAAATGGGAAAACGCGAAGTAGTCTGAAGTGGCATCGCATTTTTAGGGCTTCGGTGCAAACTGTGAGCGCGTCTCGAGATTTTATCGCTACGGCCTTTGGCTGATTGTGCCAATTATGGAAGCGAAATGCACCAGTCGCCCTCAAGTGGTTTCTGCACTCTCAAATCATAATAATAAATCCTAAAAAGCGCTCCCAGCCATCGCCTGCCAAACTATCCGTGCAACAACAACAACAACGACTACTACATCGACAATAACAACAATGGGGCAAAGCGCAAAGCGCGAGTGCCATTTGGTTTTGCATGAGCGAAATCGTTTAAATTTATTGTGCACTGCATTTCACGCCCTGCACTTTTAATCAGCCGGCACAATTTTTGGGCAAAGGCATTTGAAAGTTCTTGTTTTTTTCGCCATGGCATATTGAATTTCAATTTGCCGAACCAAAAACTTTCTATGCGCCATTACTAAAGCGAAGCACAAATGAGAGAGTGGATTGGAAAAATGAAATGAAAATAAAATAATGAAATTAAGAAGAAAAAAATCGAAAAAACAGAGCAGCGATAAGCAGTTATAAGCTCATTTAGGCTAAAATTATTTATACATCATTTTATAAATATTTTTTTTTTTTCATGCTTAACTGAATTTTTGGGATTGACACAGTTTTATAAATAACGGAAGCTTAAAATATATTTTAAATTTATGTTTTATTAATAAATAAATAGTAATGGCAGTAGATGGAATTGAACTAAAATATTAATCTAGTGGCTCGAAAAATACAATGGCAAAGTATCGGTAGACGACATTGATAGTTAACCATTGTGTTATCCCCTCTAAACTAAACTGATCTCTTATTAGCCAGCCAAACAAATTTTTTATAAATATAAAAAAAAAAAATTTCATTTAATATATTCAGGTTCTACTGTCTGTTTCTAGGCAAACTTAAATTATTTGTTGATAGTAACTCAATTCAATCATTTTACTTCACGCTTTATAAATTATGTCAACAATAATATATATGTATATTGGTACAAATTTCTCAATAAAAAAGCAAATTGAATTGTATTGCTTTGCGTATTGTATCCTAGAAAAAGTTGAGCGATTTGCATGATTGATGACATTTCATGGTTTGTTCTCTAAATTGATTCAGCATTAAAGTTTTATCATGTGTGAAATTATATATATATACATTTTTATTTATTTATTTTTTTTTTTTTTTTTCCAATTTTCAGAGTGAATCTTATGCTGTTTTATTTGTGTTGTTTAATTTTTAAATGTAAGCTTTTAACTTTTTTTGTCATTCAATTGTGATTAAGTAGTCTATTTATTCAGGCGCTTCTAGGCACATGTTTTACCTTAATTAAAGCAGATTAAAAATGTTTTATTTATTAATGTTGTTTGCTCTGGTAAATTTATAAATGAATATACTTTTTTCTATAGATTCTCTTATATAATGGCTGCCGTACGGTATTATGTTTCTTTTCAATGCAGTTTGTGTTGACGTGATTGATTGGTTGATTGATGATGCCACTTAAATCGGAGCTGTATAAAACGTTCGAAATAATAACATTAAGTTGCGAGCTGCGAACTTTGTAAATAAAAATAAATAAATCAAATGAAAAACCAAATTAAAACACAACAAAAAACAAGAAATGCCTGCATCAACAACATAAAATAATTAAATCAACATGAATGATTTAACGTTCCAAATACAGTTCACATAACTTTTCACACAACGCCCCCCGACTCAAAAAAGATATAGATATAGATCAGAGCAGCATTCGGTGTTGACAACTGCTGACAGGCTGCTCCGAAATAAAAAGAGTATGAAAATGTAACACACAAAAAACAACTGAGAGGGATTTAGTTGTGAATTACTGACTAGGAAATACCCTGAACTTAAGAATTATTAACTTTTGGTGTTATAAATAAGATTTAAATGGTGTTATGTGGACACTAAAATATGATTGTTAAGTAATATATATATATTACCATTAGGTCTTATAGTTAGGCTTTATTGTTTATAAACAAAAAGTTGAACGATCATCAAATACATATAGAGAGATTTACATAAGCTCTGCTAAGCATAGGTCCATCATCATATTCACAAATATATATATATATATAAACAAAAAAAAAAGAAAAACAGACATATCGTTTGGGCGTAACGTAAAGTAAATTTGACTTTATGCTCAATCCGTCTATCCCCCTCTCATTCTCGCTCGCTTTCTCTATCTCTCTCTCTCTGCATATCTGTCAGTCGAAGCTCTCATGCCGTTACACAAAGTCTACTTATTGTTGCCATGGTCAACTTGTGTATAATTCGAGTTAGCCAATTGGGCCATCATATCAATGATACACAAATTGGAAAGTTGTTTTTAACACAGTTATTTGTGAATGTTATTTTTTTCTATTATTGTCTTTTTTTCTAAACCAAAAAACAAATATGTATATTTTTTGCTGTCTCCAAATACTTTGCTGCTTTCGGTTGTCAATAAATAACTGGGGATATTGTCAAAAACAATGCAACGGATATTTGGTAGACCAACAAAAATGCATTTAAATGCTCAGCGGAGCGACAATAAAGGCCAATGCACAAAAAATGAGAAAATCGGTCAGCAAAAGTGAGCAAATATTTCGCATACGCCGCGTGCGACACAAGCAGGAAATAGCGAGAGAAAAACGAACGAATGGGCAGCCAAAAAAATATAGAAGGGAAACGCAGTGAAAGGCAGCAACTTTAATCAATATTGAAGCATTTTTTGAGGCCAATAAATCATTTCATAATCAATTTTGCCGCTGACATGTCTCTCGCACTCTCTATGTATGTGTGTGTGTGTGTGTGTGTGATGTGTGTGTGTTACTCTCGGATGCAAAAGGTTCTAGATATAAAAAGAAGAAGCGTGCGCGGCACATGGTCAAACACAAAAAACTTTTGGCCACCTTGTGCCCGGTGCGCTTTGTGTGTGTATTTGTGTGTGAGTGCAATAAACAAACCACACACACACCCGCCCATGCACTAGCACACTTGCATTGCTGTGAGTGCAAAAAACAAGCAACGCCCAAAATAATCAACAGATGGTGCAAACAACAACAAACAGCACAATGCACGCCGAAAAACTGCCTATCGTCCGTCCGAGTGTTGGTGTGTGTGTGTGTGTGTGTGCGAGTGTGTGTAAATGAAAAGCGGAAGTTGAAAGTTGAGCGCGACTGACAGCGGCAGCCCAGGCAGAGGTCGCCAGCGTCAACAATGACAGGCAGCAGCAGCAGCAGCAGCAGCAGCATCACGGGCAGAGGCAACATCGTCAGCGGCTGCCCCAAAAAGTATGCTATGCTGAATGCAGCTACTGCTATTGTTATACACTATGAGCTGAGCTACTGTAAGGCAGTATATTGGCTTCGTACTTCAATGCAGAATAGATTTCAGCTTAATCTGTAAATGTTGTAGTTGTAGTTGTTGTTGCCCTTGTTGTTGTCGCTATTATTGCTTGCATTTTCTCTACTCTTTTCCCTTGGGCCGCTCATTAGCTTATTAGCTTCGGCTTGCAGCTGCATGCTTCACTTGACATAGCTGCTTTCTATCAATTAAAGCTGATGGCTTTACTTCTTCACTGTCAACTTTATAGTGAAATCTCTAAGCAGCGATTGATTGAAATGATTCAATGACTTAGCTCAAGCTGTATGCCAAACTCAAAATGTAATATGTAGAGATTCTTATATATGCCTTAAGCTGCATGTAGTGCATCTGCCAGTCGGTGATACTCCACCGACAATATTCTTAGTTGTGGTAGCTGTTGCTGTTGCGCTGTGTATTGTGCGAATTTCAAGCGGAAATTAAGTGCGACCTCTTCGCGTGGTTGTGAACAGTGCCAGCAAAACAAGGCAAGTGTAAGCAATACTACGTGCATATCAATGCCAGGACGGACATTTGCACACACACAAGAGAGAGAGAGAGAGAGAGAGAGAGAGAGAAGAGAATAAGAGTGAGAGATGGACACTCTATTTTACAGTTGCAGTTGCGCGCGGCCAAAGGTCTGACCCTCTATATAGCGGCCCGATCCTGTTGGCCATCAGTGATTGTGTTTGCGTGTTGTGATGCGTACAAAATTGTATTTGCCTAGCATTGTGGATGTGGGCAACGGAGTGAGGGCGTGCCAGGCAGCCAGTGAGTCAGTCAGCCGGTTAGAATGCAGCGCCAATTGGGCTTTCGGGCAAATTTTGGATTTTTTCATTGGATTTGATGAGTGCTTGGCCAGCGAAACGCGTTTTTAGTTATCAAACGTTTCGCTTGGCCAATAGCCCAAATATTGTATGTATGTATATCTTGCTAACAGACCGAGTTGTAATAAAGGCGCTCGACTGTAACAAATTGCCCACAGGTCGGCCGAGTGGTTGACTCCATAAGCAACTAACTGACATCTAATCCAATTTGTTTGGCAGTCCGAAAACACGTTCACATTTACTGGGTTAGCAAATGAAATTCTTTCATATAGTTTTCAGTTGCAGCCAAGAGATTTTTACTTTAGTCTCATTCTAAGCAGCTTTGCAGCTTGTTTTACTGATGGCCATCCATCAAAAGCTAAACGTACTTATGTTTTTCGGATTAAAACCGTCACAGTTCATGGTATTAAAAATATGCTCAAACAACTCTACACAGGTAAAAAAAAAATAGGAAAACCTGGAAAATTTCTATTAGAAAACGCACACAGAGAGTGCAATGATTAAGCTGATTTATTTGTCAGTTTTATTTCGTGCTAAAAGTGTCAAAGAGAATATTTATAAAACTTTATTAACACTAAGTACTTACACTCGCACACACACACACGCATACAGTGGGAGAGAAACATAAACAACGTAGCACATTTGAAATGACCATAAAACACAAACAAAACAGTAGCCAAGAACAACAATAACAGAGACGAGAGGAACGTGGCAAGTTGAATGTCCTGCAGCGAGAGGCTTCTTTGGCCCAGCAAAATTTCAAGTGTTTCGACAACAACAACAGCAACAGCAGCAGAAGTTGTTGCGGGTGCGTGGCGACTGTGAAGGAAGTGAGTGAAGGAAAAAAAAAACTGGCACAAAGTGCACAAAACGTACTTAGAACATCTTTAAGTTCAACATAAAAAACTTGACCAAACATAAATCCCAACATCACAAAAACAAACGGTAAGTAAGACATATACCAAGAAATACACACAGCTATGTACACACCCACACACATGTATACACAGCAGCACACTTAGCTCGCAGGCATAGCAACAGCTCGAACTGGAGACCATATTAAGACTGATTTTGGCCGCTGGGCAGTTGGCCAGCATATTTAGGCGATTATTTATGGCCAATGGCGACGACGAGGAATTCGACACTCGGCGCGACTTGCTGGCAATCGCACAGACACAAATACGGATGGCTGGGTACGAGTATGAGACTGTGTGTGTGTGTGTGTGTGGGTGTGGGTGTAGGCGGCAGCAAACAAGCGCAAACATGAGCAGATCGAGCTGTACCACTTGCCAACTGTCTGCTGTTTATTGACGGCACAGCAACAACAACAACAAGAATAACAATAACAACAACAGCTATAGCAGGAACTTTAGCAGCCAAACAACCGACAAAAATGACAGTGAGCGACCCAAAACGGCAGCCAAGCCTCTGGACTGCCAAATGGGATCTACTTACAGAGCCAGCTATCGCCAAAATCCCAAACCCCAAGTTTTGTCCACTGGCACGACAAGTGGCAAGTGCTTGCAGCAGCAACGGCAACGGCAGCAGCAGCAGCAGCAGTTCACATGTTACATAACACACAGTGGAGCAAAAAATAAAAATAAACTGAAAACAGAAAACGAAAACGGAAAAAACCCAAAGTCAATTTTAGCTTATTACCAGCCAATGCCAATTGAATGGAGCTCTGAATTGCTGGTGAATGAAAAACGTTAACAGAGATTTTGAAAAGGTTTCTAATTTGAGCCTATTTCGTGATCGAAAAGACAGTCGACAGATATTATAAATCTGACTATTGACTTAAGCATGTTAAGTGTGTATAATTGATTGATAATGAAGAAGTAGATTAAGATGACAAGGAAGATGAGAGGCAATAGACACTGTAAGTTATTTAGCCACTTTAGCTAAGCACTCCGATTAGATCTGTATATCTTATTCAAATAAATGAAACTATTTGATTCCTTGTGCTCTGTTCGCGGAATCAACCAAAAAAATTATATTCACTTGCTTTCGATTCTTTTCGTTTGATTTTCTGCTGAGCGCCTTCGTATGAACACGCTTCTTATGAACATCGTTTAGGGAGAGAGACGATAGAAGCACACACACCAATGCATACACTCATACACAGAAGACTTTTCGCCTTCACTTAACTCAACCAATCGGGTGGGCAACAACCAGAGCGAGCCGATCGACAGAAGTCGTTGAAGAACCGACGCATTCGGTTGATCTCTGAGATTCTTCTCAGAGTGTAAGCAACGAACTCGTTAAAGAGCCAACGCGATGGGTTGGTCTTCGGGTCTTTTCTCAGAGTGTGCTAAGCTATGCTCTTTTATCTACTACATATGTGTGCATTTTTACACAAACTAATCTCTCATATCCAAGCTCCTGCAACTGTTTCTACATTTCTTTGGCTGTCATCCATTCGGGAGTACCCACTAATCGAACAATTATTTATATTATCTAACCACAATTGTGTGATCTACTGGTCATATGCTTATAGACTATAACCAATGTGTGCACGGAGAAAGACGAGCCTGTTCTCGCCTGCCCACTGGATATATATATTTTTTTGTGTGCCTCTCATATGGGTTTGTCATTTTGACAAAGGAAAACAACATTTGATATGCCAAACATGTGGAGCCGCTAGGGAGTACTTCGTGGCGCCCGCACACATAGAGAGGGGGCGAGAGGGAGAGAGAGAGAGAGAGAGAGAGAGAGAGAGATGGACGAGAGAGTAAGAGATGTCGCGCTTGTCAGTTGTTTGTGGCCGCCGTAGCAGCGTGGGCTGTCGGACGTGGCGTATGAGTAACTTAATAAATTTGACAACAATGCCGCACAAAAGCAAACAAATGGCAACAATGGCAACCAGAGTTGCCACCATTTACCGCTCGTGCTGCCGCTGCTGCTGCTGCAACAGCTACTGTTATTGTCGTGGGCCGTGTTGTTGCCTCGGCTGCTGCTGCTGCGCATTTTCAATTTGTTTTCGTGGCACTGCGGCGTGGCTTGTAAACAAAATCCGGCGGAAAATGCGAACAAGCGACGCTTACGAGGAGTCAAATAGCCAAAGAGCCAAAAGGAAATGCCATTTTGTCGCACACTGCCACCAACGCCCCCATCCCGTCCCGCCCCGCCTCCTATGCTGACTCTCTCGGCGGGGTCATTTGGCCGGCGTTGACAAGCGTGTTAAGCCGCGCTGCCTGCCCTCTCTCTCCCCTCCCTCAATCCTTTTGCCATTCCAGTCCTTCAGCCACTTTGTCAGTGTTTACAAATTGTGCCATGTTTGTTTGCGTTTGGCTGACTGTTTGCTGGGTCGGTTTGATTGTTTATTTGTCTGTTTGTCTCTGGGTTCGTGTGCTTGTGTGTGTTTTAATATCAAACATTTTTAATAAATATGCAGCGCTGACCACAAAACGCACTTTGGCTTATTGAAATTGAAACTGCAGCGCAGCACAGCGCAGCACAATAAACCAAATGTAATTCCAAACCTGTCCAAACAGGAACCTAAATTTTCCAGCTGATATAAATTAGAAATGAATGTGGCAAGAGTTGACAGACAGCAGTAGGCAGCAGACGAAAGAGACTATATTTCCAGCAACCGGTGCATCCACTCTGATCTATATATAACTATTGTGGGCATGGCTAACTGATTGACTAACTGACTGACTGTACAGAAGGCTTTGAGATGTAAGTAGCTGGTCCACTTTCTATATATAAACTAGCTGTTATATAACCTAATTGATTGACTGACTTGTGCAAAATGAAAAAAGTCTTAACTAAATTTGGCAATATGATTGAAGAAAGCAGTTTAAAATAAAAGGCAGTCGTAATATGTATTAGAAATATCAATAAAAGTGCATCATTTGATATGTAGCACTAAATTTTGCATATAATCAAAGCAAACCTATTCGAATTATAAAACTAGCCTAAAATATTTTTACAGAATTCTTTTTATTTTTCAAACAGCAATTTTAAACATTTTTAGCTTTTAAGTCAACATTTTAAAATAATGAACACGTTTCCATATTTTTAGGCATATTTTTTTTTCTAATTTTCATCTAAGTAATTGCAAAAAATTAAAAAAAAAAAAAGTTGATAAAAAACAGTAGATTCTCCCGTAATCCGTGCAATACCTGCAACATAATAACTGATGCTGCATATTTTTGCTAACTAGGTATAAAAAGGCAAAATATGCCAAAAACAAACTTGGGAAATTGTGGGTTTTACATACATAAAGCGCTTGGTTCATTTCAACATTATTTTTGATGCGTTTTCGTATATTTTTTTCGGTCCAAGCGCTGATTTGCATTCACTGCTGAAAATTATAACTCGAGGGAAAAGCAGCTTAACATAAATTTCGACGAGCTGGCTAGCTAGCTAGCTATAGTTATAGCTATAGCTACTACAGTCATAATTCGGGCTACACATTCACACACTCTCTATCACCTCTGTCCGCGCTCTGCGAGATGTGTGTGTGTGCGTGTTTATGTGTGTGTGTATAACTAAACATTTACATTTCATTAAAACTAAAAACAACATACAAAAGCAGCGAGTACGACACGAAAACGTAAACGAATACGAAAACTAACCAAATACAGACTAATATACACACACACACAGGCATGTATATACAAATATACATTTGCATAGAGAGCGAGATAGAGCAGGCAGGTAGCTGGTATAGTGGCATGTTAGCAGCATACTTTTGGGCTAGGCAAAATGCCTTCGCTACCCAGTCCGCATTTCGCAGCAACTACACTTAGCGAAAAACAAACAAACTTGACGGAATTGATATGCAAAAAAAAAATTAAACCTATAATTAAATTATTAATTTTAAAGCTCGAATATATTTATTCCAAGAATTTTTCAAACTTAGCTAATCAGTCAATAATATTATACTGATTAAACTTTTTATAAACTTTTTTGTGTATTTAAAAATTATGAATTATTTGCACAAATATTTATATTTATGTATTTCTAATAAAAATTAAGTATAAGAAACTTTTACAATTCTTCAGTTAACCCTCGTAATATATTCGCTTTCATGGAAACTATTTGCCTCATGTAAACTGCGAGTCCCAATTAGAAATTTATGAAGCAAACCAACGGCAAGCAAATACTAACCGTAATGAACTGAATTTTTTCTCCAAGTGTAGCAACTAAAAAAAATGTCCTTCTGTCGTCCGTTGCTGAGCTCTCGTAGTGTGCAAGGTGAGTGCCACTCGAGAAACTGCCGGCTCTGAGCTACAAACTGCGAGCTCAGTGTGTGAGTGTGTGGCTGTGTGTGTAGATATGTGTGTGAGCTTGTGTGGGTGTGTCTCTGCATCATATCGCTTTTTAAAACACACATACTTAACTCGACGTTTTTCACTCAACGAGCTTTTACGTAGCGGCAACAAAGTGTAGAAGTGCAACAGCAACAACAACAACAACAATACCACAGCTGCCTCTCATCTCTGTCGCAGTTTTCGAGCATACAGCTGTGTGTGTGTGTGTGTGTGTGTGTGTATGTTCAGGTGTCTCTGTGTGCGGGAGGGGGTTATGTTTTATTTTCATACGCAAAAAGTTGGCCAGCATCAGTCAAAATGGAATGTGGTTCATTTGGGCCACTGTGTTGGAGGAGCGCGCTGAGTGTAGCGAAATAAATAGTATATTTTGCCCGAGTGCCACTCATGGAAATTGCACAAAAAACAACGCAGCAGCCAAGCGAGACCTGCGACCTGAGTCCTAGTCCTATGGTTCAGGCTCAGGCTCAGGCTCGTCTTCGCCGTCGTCCGTTGTCCGCCGTCTGTCGTCTGTCGCTCGTGTCCTCGTCCTCGTCCTCGTCCTGTGCCTGTGCCTGTGCCTGTGCCTATGCCAAGTGCCAGTCAAATATATGAATTGGCCGTCGAGCCGAGTTCTTTTACAGCATAATAACAAGAAGTTAACTGTGCCCGTGCACATGCAACTGCAGTAACTCTGACCCAATTGCTGCCTTTGTTTTTCTGAATAAACACACACACACACATACACATTCACACATATACACTCACCAAAAATGCAGTCTAATTACGCCTCATGTTTAACAGCTCTATTCAATTAGAAGTAATGCATGCTCCCAGGCCATACCTGAAATCGCAGCACTCAGCAAAAAAATAAGGCCTGCAATTGAAAGTGCTGAACGCGCAGATGCCCTGTAAATAGCAGTTGCTTTGAAGCATATATAGCCTGATGCAAGTAGCAGCCAAGTAGATACCCTGTTATATGCATTTTCTATTAAGTTCATAAACTAATTCCTCACCTGACAACCATTAGATGTGAATATTAAATGGTCGACTATCAAATACCCTGTGAGAGAATTATTTCTATAGTAGATCAAGAGGATGGACTGTGAAAAAAGTTATAGAAAAAGACTGAATTATGATAGCGCCCATAATGAATGTTTCGAATAGATTAGTTCACTCTGCAGCTCTTCTTCTGATACTCTTATGATATAGCAGTCAAAAATGCTCGACTATCAAATACCCTATATAAAGCTATTAAATCAATATATGGAAGCTGCATAATTCAGTCTTTTTCTATAACTTTTTTCACAGTCCATCCTCTTGATCTACTATAGAAATATTTCTCCAATTTCTTTATACAATAAGAA